TAGGATGCGAAAAAGGAGATTAACTTACTGAAACAGAAGATTGAAATACTCCAAAAAGGCCTCAGGTATTACAAATTAAAAAAAACGAATTAAAAGAGTGTCAAAATTTTGAATTTTAATAAAAAATCATGTAATAACTTTATTTAATGGTTATAATAAAGCTTAATATCAAATAGCCTAATAAAATTGGCCCAAGCAAATTAATTTATCGAGCTTCTGATTTTATCCCCTACGTCAAGTCTGGGCATGTTTATTGTGGTCCGTTTCCTTCAAATAGAGAGAGAAAACATATTCATTTCTCTCTCTAAGAGCAACTCCAGCGTTGGAGCCCTCCCCCCTGGCAATACACTATTCAATCCACCTAATGAACAGTAATTGCCCTTAATGAACAGTAAGTAGCCCTGGCAATAGATTTTGCATCTCCACCGTTACACTTCTATAGCCCTGGCAATAGGCAATAAAATATTAGTATTTTTTTTATTTATAAAATTAATACAAAATAATTTTAAATGTAATATCGGATAAGATTTTTAATCGTTGTCGGTGCACCACGTGTCATTATCCTAAGTATTATTAAATAATACAAAATAAATAATTATAATATGGATTTCTGATAAGATTATTAACCAATCACGTCGCGCCACGTGTCATAATCGGTTCACAATCTTTGAGGATAGATTTCCATCAGATTTTAAACGAATGACGGCATGCCACGTGTCATAATCTGTTAACAATCTTGGATGATAGATTTCCATCAGATTTTTAACGAATGACGGCATGCCACGTGGCATTATGCAGAACCTAATCCTTTCTGAATCCTCTATATAATTCACCATCCATCTTCACAAATCTCACACCAAAATTCTCAAGATCTCTATCATTATTCATAATTTCTGCTTCCTTATTCACAAAAATCAGTTTCAATATTCATAGTTTCTGTTTCTTTCTTTCAATGTCTTCTTCTTCTTCCTCAAGGATGATGTGGGAATTGAATCAGGAAGAGGAAGACTTGTTTAACCAATCAGAATCAATGTTCAATCAGCAGGGGGTAAGAAATGAGAGGGAAGAAGATGAGGAGCGTCAAATGAGAGATGACGACGTAAGAAGGGGCAGAGCCTCACATTCCCGTCGAGTCATCCAAGCTGCGGCTCAGATTTGCAGGCCAAGGCGTTCCGGAAACCTTGATAGAAGCAGGCAACGACGAGGTATGGAACTCTTGGATGATTATTTTGTTCCTAATAGTGCATTCCCTGATACGTACTTTAGACGTCGTTTTAGAATGGAACGACATTTGTTCAACAAAATCATGATTGCTGTTTGCAACCATGATTCTTATTTTGTGCAAAAAAAAGATGCTTTTGGTGCTATGGGTCTACTACCGGAGCAAAAAATTACTGCTGCCTTGCGGATGCTTGCATATGGAGCATCTGCAGACCAAGTGGATGAGATAACGAGGATGGGGCAATCAACCATTCTTGAGTCCCTGATGAGGTTTTGCGGAGCAATCGAATCTATCTACACCGCTGAGTACCTCCGCAAACCCACACACATGGACTTGGAGCGGCTGTTGAAGAAGGCGGAGATGCGTGGCTTTCCTGGGATGATTGGAAGCATTGATTGTATGCATTGGACGTGGAAAAATTGTCCAAGTGCATGGCAAGGCGCTTACGGGGACAGAAAAGGGGCAAAAAGTATCATTCTGGAGGCGGTGGCATCTTTTGATACATGGATTTGGCACGCCTTTTTCGGGGTCCCGGGAGCTCAAAATGACATCAACGTCCTTGCCCAATCCCCAGTGTTCAACGATGTCCTGCAAGGAAAGGCACCAAAAGTTACATATGAGGTCAACGGACGTATGTACGACGGGCCATACTACCTAGCTGACGGCATCTACCCGCGCTGGTCAACATTTGTCAAAACAGTGCCACGTCCGCGGAGTGCGAAGGAAAAACACTTTGCAAGTTGTCAAGAGGGGTGCAGGAAGGATGTGGAGCGTTGTTTTGGTATCCTCCAAGCTCGCTGGGCGATCGTCAGGGGTGCTGCCAGATTGTTTGATGTAGAGTCGCTTCGATCCATCATGATGACGTGCATCATTCTTCACAACATGATTGTGGAAGATGAGTACGATTATGAAGCTGTTGATGAATATGAGCCAGACCCGATGAACAATTCAAGAACACGTATATATTGTGCTCATGACGCCACCGATGACCCCGTGCAACATGAGCCATTACAAAGGGATGGACGTTACAATGAAAGGCTCATTCAACGATATACTGCATTTCAAATGCCAGACATGCACAATGCCCGACAAATTGACTTGATAGAGCACCAGTGGGCATTGAAACAAGCTGAGGATAATTAAGTTCATTTTAGTGTGTTATTTTGAATTTGGTATGTTTATGTTATTTTATTTGGTGTGTTTTATTATTTGGTATGTTTATGTAATTTTTTTATGTTTATGTTTATGTAATTCTTAGTATATGTTTATGTTTATGTTTATGTAATTTTTTTATGTTTATGTTTATGTAATTTTTTTATGTTTATGTTTATGTAATTCTTAGTATGTTTATGTTTATGTTTATGTAATTTTGTTATGTTTATGTTTATGTAATTCTTAGTATGTTTATGTTTATGTTTATGTTTATGTTTAATGGACTTTTAACAACATAAATAACTTACCAAATTAAATAACTTACCAAATTAATTCTTAATATAAATAACTTACCAAATTAATTTGAATAAATATTCATGAACATGGAAACAACATAAATAATACAAACAATAAATAATAAATTACAACCCAAAGTGATTGGAAAATTATGGGCTCCGATTACAAAAAGTACTCTATTCATCATCACTTAACCAATTTGTGCTGCTAGGATGATCTTCTCTTGCGGTGCTAGAACCACCTTGGCTTGCTATTGTTTCTCTTGCACGCCTCCTTCGCACCACGTCCGTTTTCTCTGACTTCCAAAAAATTTAGAATTTGGAGACTTCCCTTCTAAAGACATGTTCATAATCTCACGATCTTGTTGAGCTCGTCTTTCTTCTCTAACATGTTCCCTTTCTTGCCTAAGTAGCTCTCTTTCTCTCTCATTAGCATAAAATTCTCTCTCAACAGCTGCTGCTTTTGATGCCTTATCAGCCTTATCAGCCTCATCTTTCGCCAGTTCCCTCGCCAAAGTCAATTCACCTTGGCGAGTAAGTTCTTCCATGAACTTTGCATAATCGTTCTTGGAAGCACTCCCTTTTCTCTTTGAAGCCTTCTTACCTTGAGGCTTAATTGGAAAACGGGTCGAACCCGACGCTTGTTCAGGGAGGGGCGTTTCAGGCACTTCTTCTGCATCATCTCCTTTCTCATCATCGGGTGTAGAGTGTAGAGGGGTGCTGTTCATGTGCACTTCTGGACCAACTGACACAACTCTAAATTTAGGACAATCTTTGACAATATTCCAACATTCCCACCGGTTGAATGATTTATTTTTGCTTTTGGTTTTGGCAACGTACCAAGCTTGTGCTTGAAGTTCCTACACAATAAAAATAAGTAACAAATAAATAATTATAATGAAAATAAGTAACTAGCAAATATATACATATATATATATATATATATATATATAAGTAACAAAGATAATGAAAATAAGTAAGAAGGCTTCAAGTTTAGTAAATAATTTTAACCTTAAATATACACATTTTTTTTTCTTAATGTAAGTGATATTATACATTAATTTTAATGAAAATAAGTAACAAATAAATAATACAAACAACATAATTATAATGTAACAAATAAATGTAACAAATAAGTAACAATAACATAATTATAATGTAACAAACAAATTAATAATACAAACAACATAATTATAATGTAACAAACAACATAATTATAATGTAACAAATAAGTAACAATAAATAATAAATTTTGTACGTAACAAATAAAGAATACAAACAATAAATAATAATATCTTGTTACCATATCCGAGTAATTTTCCCCACTTCGAATATTATTACTAGCTTGTGCCAAAGCGTCTCTCCACGTACTAAACGATTGGCTAAGTAATTTCCAACGACTGGACATCGATTCTTTAGTTCTTTGCCCACCAATTTTCTCAAGAAAATTTGTATGAATAAGACTCCACATTTCTCGCAACTGCATCTCATTACCCGTAAGCGAACTATGAGTAATTTCAACCCAGCTAGTACACAACGCAACATCTTCAATAAGCGACCAATTCGTACCTGCACCAGTGGTCATTTTGTTGAAAAAAAATGGATTCAAACTTTGAGACAAAGAAAGGAATGTGATTGAAAGTAGTTGAGAAAATATGAAATTGTTGTGAAGGTAGATGATAATGAGAAGGTATTTATAGAAAAGTAAAAACAATTTTTTTTACAATTTTTTTCAGATTTTTCAGATATTTTTTGAATTTTTTTGAATTTTTTACAATTTTTTTTAAATTTTTATTCAATTAATTAATCTCTGCTGTTGGATATAAAAAAATTTGAATTCCAACGCTCCAGATTGTGCCACGTGTCACAACGGTAACTTTTCAGATTTTTAAAACTATTTTTTCATTTATTTTTTAATTTTTAAAGCATTTTAATATCCACCGTTGATCTCAGATCGAACGGTGGATATTAAATCTGACAGTTTGAATTTTTTTTACCGTTGAGATCTAACGGTCCACATTAAGTGACCGTTAGGATCTAACGTACCGTGGGAAGCCACGTGGCTTCCCAACGGTAACAGACAAACCTTCTTTTTTTTTCTGATTAACGTGTCAGGACGCGCCCCCACGCGCGGGTGGGGTGCACGCGCGGGTGGGGTGCACGCGCCTGACACAAAAAAAATAAAATATTACGCTGACGCCATCCTGGCGTCAGCCTTGCGTCACTCCCACCTCGGGCTCAAGGGCTGGCAATCCCTCACGGACCTGGCCCTCGGGCCTTTGTTCTGGAGCCGGTCCCCCGAGCTAAATGCAACGGTGGGAGTGCTCTAATGTCTGCAATTTTCACATTTCATCAGCCCATCATCCGATCTTCTTCTCCGTCAAACTCTGAAAAATGGCAATGGAAATCTTGATGGATGTATAAACAGGTGCAGGTCTTGCTTCGAAAAGAAGCGAAGATGTCGCATGACCCAGACGACACGCCGTTGCCGAATCTACTTCCGTCGAATAAATCGAGGGGAGTTGGATCATCAAGGGTAGCAGCGAATTGAATTCCCCTTAAACCTGTGCGCGCTGTGCTTTCTCTCTCTCTACAGCTCAACAGAAAACCTCGCTTGCTTTCGTCATCTTGCTCTAATTCCGTCGTCCATGTATGTACCAGTCTCTTTCTTTCTCTCCAACCACTGATCTTTCACTTGTATTTTTTCCTGTTTTTTAATATTTTTCTTGTGACAATTTCGAGCTATTTTTTTTCCTGTTTTTTATAGAAAATGGTTTTTGTCATCTGGAAATAGAAATTTAGGCTTTGGACATGGAATTTTTTTCTGAATTGAAAGTTTCTAGTATAATTTTCAGTTATCTTCTCGTCATTACCGTTTATAGTATTTTGGTTCTGATACAATTTATTTTTAATCCGTGTGTAGGGAACTCTGATACAAATTAACAAATAATTTGTCAATTTTTTGGTGTAAAAGAGGAGCATTGGTACTTTGAATCTGTGTGTAGGAATCATATATGTTTTGTTGATTCTAGCTTTATTGTTGCTTAGGTTTTGGTTTAAAAAGCGTTATGACCCTAGTTAGTCATACTGGTTGTGTCATATGTGATATAGGTGGTAATCTTATAAGTTGGGTTGATCATGTAATAGATATTGATTACCCTAACAAATTATTTGTTAATAATTTTCTTAGTTTTGACAGTACCCAAATTTGGCATGCACTTAAAATGTTAACATTCAATATAATGTCGATTTGGTGTATTATAAAGGGAACTGTTATTAGCACTTTAAAAATTTCATTCTACACTCCTCACAAATGTGTTTTTTTCTAATTATAAAAAGTTTGGAGTGCAAAATGAGATTTTTGAAGTGCCAATAATAATTATCATCTTAAAATATCAATTCGAGTATATTGGAATTGTAAAAATATGAACCTAAAAACATTTAACGAGATGAAGCATTGGGGTTTAGTTTTGTTATTGCACTGTTTGAATATATGTTATAGACATCCTCAACTCAAGAGAGAAGTTTAAAACTCTCCTCGTGAGTTTCATTTTCATGTAAGTGCTTCCTGACAATCGATATTTTCGGATTTAAATTTATAAGTAGTGTCATTGATAGTGTTCACTTTGGAAATAGTGTGAGTGTTCAGTTTTAGAAATAATATCGGTATTCAATTTTAGAAATAGTTGCATTATTTAGTTTCATAAATAGTGTCACTGTTTAGTTTTAGAAATAGTGGTAATGATAGTGTTCAATTCTAGAAACAGTATCGCTGTGCAATTCCAGAAACAGTGACATTGTTTAATTCATAAATAGTGACGGTTTCCAGTTTCAGAAATAGTGTGACACACCTCGACCGGAGTCGAGGCATGCTGGCCATCACCCGAAGTGATGTAACCAAACGTGTAAGTGATGTAAAAATGTGAATAAATTAAAACTGAAACTACTTATTTAAACTAATAAAGTGAGTGTGCAGTAGTGGGTAGAACCTATAGAATACAAATGTTCAGAGCATAGATGACAAAGTAGTGCAGTCAAAACTATTAAGTACTTAATACACAATCGGGAAAAGTCCTACATTATTTATGGATATGTCAGAATTGCCGGATATTCCTTGTATGCCACAGAGTACATCAGCTAACTAGGACCTGGAGGGGCGAAAAACAGAAGGGTGGATAGGCAAAAACAAAAGTTTATAAAATCCATTTATTTGAACATACTAAACCCTCGCCATAAAACATGTATAGTTTCCAGAAAATCATACTACGTATATGTATGAAATCAAATGCAAATCAACAGAAATTTAGAAGTATGCCACATCACAATATCTCAACAGTAATATAAGTAAAATCAGGTGTTCAATCAATTTATACTAGCACAAAAGTCGGAGTCGCCCAATGTGACATGTACGACTGAACTGATGCTCATCAATCTATGCTAGCACACGAGTCGGAGTTGCCTAATGCAACTTGTACAACATGACTGGGTGTAATCATAGTATACGCTTTAGTGCTACAATCACGTGAAGATTGGTGCTATTCGCGGTCACCTACGAGTCGGAGTCGGAGTCGCCTAATGCAAACTGTACAATAGGACTGGCACCTACTTGGATTCAAGGTGAGTGTGCGGTGCGGAGGTGAACGTACACGTGAAAGACTGGCCGTCGCCCTGGGCGAGCACTAACATCGGGGTGCAGCAATGATGAGTAGACTACATAAATATAAGCATGCCATAACGATTCAATAATTCTAGTCAACATAATAAACTTACTTGTGCATCCTGTAGGATTATTTTAGCATTTCACAACAGTATACCATTTCTTATAACGTTATTTAATCATGGCATGATATGCATAAATCAATTCAAAAGCATTTGTGCATAAATCAATTCGAAAGCATTTGTCGATTGATCGTAGCCTTCTAGGCTCCTAGCCTTGCTTGTCCTCATACGTCATTGAGGTAAGTCTCACCTATGTGGGAAATAACTAAACTATTTAATTAATTAACACATACACTAAAAGTTAGGAAAAACCCCATAGTTGCTCAAATGGAAGGTTTGAATATATGAAAACGTTCTCCACAAAGTCACGGACCCTTACGCACCGCCTAGCCCACAGCCACGCGTAGGCCATGCGCCTGGTAGAGACTAACAGAAGATGGGAATGTTCTGTCAGAGTTGACAGAATATTTTGTTAAATAGTAATAGAATCTAATGGCGTTAGAATATTCCGTCAACTTTGACAGAATATTTTCCTTCTTTTTGTGATCCTCCGTTATCCGTCGGCGTTGGCACTGCCATTTCGTTCGTCGGAAACTAGGAAAATCTCGTTAGTTTTTGGGAAAATTTCAAAGCTTTATATCTTACTCATTTCTCAACTATTTTTGACCAACTTTATATGGAAATGAAGATCTGACCTCTAGTATAGCACCCATTACTTCCCATTTTACACTCATTGAAATGACGGTTATTGTATATGCGACAGAGCGGAGCACCAACATTGCTAGGGTTCCTCTGAATCTAAAAGCGGGAACTACCTGTGGACTTGCCGCCCCTTTGCGGCATATTGGAACTTATTTTCAGGAATTACATTAATTTGCGATATCTATTTTCAGGAATTACATTGATTGATTTTTAATTTCAGGGACTATATTGATGGTGAGGGTCAATTTCAAGGACCATTTGTGATAAAAACCCTAATTAAATTGATATTTTTGGAGGAAGGAATTTTGACAACTGCCAATAAGTATCTTCAAGATAAGGTAATCAACATTCTTATTAAAGTTTATGAGTAAATTGTAGCTATAGTCTCAAATTATTAGCCAATTTTCAATTTGGTCCTTTAATTCAATTTTTGTCACATCTCTTCTCAAATTTAATCATATTTTAATCTCTGATGCTGGGAAATGACCCACAGATCCCAGGACATAGAGATTGAGCTCGTTGGAGTACAAGGATTAAGTGGAAGTAGCTGACTGTACTACGATCAAATGAGGTTATCTCTGTAATAATAATCATCCTTTATGGATGAGACTACTTTTTATTTCCTGAGCTATGCTCTGAACTTCGTAATTTGTAATAAGGGTTTCTACCCAGTCACATTGTGCACTATGGTTTCTTTAATTAAAGTTTAAATTTATTCTCACTTTTACACATCAACCATACTTTATGGTTCGTCACCCTCCATGTTTAAGCCTAGCACATAACGATTCAGATGAACATGTGGACATTCCGAATCGAGATGTGTCAATTTTTGAGTTCTCTCCCTCCAAATCATGTGCCAATTGCGCCCTTTTATGACAAAATTTGTAGGGTAAAAATACTTTTCCTATATTGTATATAGTTTTCTAACTTTTTAACTCCTATTTTCTTCTCTTATTTAATTGCAAATTGAAGTTCTAAGTTCAATTTAAAACGATATAGAAAAGGCTGATTAAGGGGTGTGTATTGGAATAAAATTATGTTAGATTTTAAGGGAGTTTATAAATTCATGTGTATTCAATTACGATTTTAAATGAGTCTTTTAAACTTAAGTGATATTCAATCTGAGTATGATGGTATTCAATTTAGACTTGGAAAGTGTCTTTTAAACTCTGAGGGTATTCAATCTAAGTATGGAGGTTCGGAAACTGAACCAAACCGAACCAAACCAAATTCCTTTACACTTAATGAATGTATGCCTACGATGTTTCTTTTGTGAATTGCTAAGTTTGAAACTAAGCCTAGGACTTTTTCAAGGAGCATGCTTGGTTCAATTAGGGAGGATATTTGGTTATGGAGGAAAGTTTTGGAACTTGGAAGAGCTTCTCTATTTGTTTGCTTTTTGAACGGATATGGTGATCATTTTTCTTTGCAATTGAGGTTGTTGATAGAATATGATTACTCTATATGATCTTGTATACATACAACTACCTTCCCACTTTCCCCATTTTCTTATTATTAGTCTACTAATACAAGCCTCTTTTCTAAAATCTATATTAAAAAAGTTCAAGTTTTATAAAATAAAAAAAAAAACTGAAATCGAACCGAACAAAACCAAACTGATAAAAAAAAAAAAAAAAAAAAAACCAAGCAAAAAAAACTGAAATAAAATTGAACCGAACCAAAGTTTTGGTTTGGTTTCGGTTTTGGCAAAAAACCGAACTGAATGAAACCAAACTCACCCCTAATTACCATGACAACCATTAATCCAATTGGGCCTTACATTTATGTCCATGTATATAAAAGGACATTTATGTCCATGTTCCGTCAACTGGGGGAGTAGAGAATAAGGGCTCAACACCTTTCCACCACTGTGATAAAGGGCTACTTGCGTTCCATCAACTTAATTAACCAAAATTAATTACTGGGACTTAAATTGCAACAACGAGAAATACAATGATCAATTTTGTAAGAAATTTTCGTGGAAATTAACATTCCTTTTCTCTTTTTGCATATTTCTTTTATTTGCGTCCCATAATTCACTTTAGAAACTCGATGAGTTGATGATTAAGGGTGGGCACGGGTCAGGCCGGACCCAAATTTAGAGGAATCAGACATTACCCCTTGTAAATGGTAACTGGGCGAGCCGAGCCGGGTAATGGGTTTTGAGAATTTGGAACCAGACCTAACCCGACTCTTTTGAAACGGGCTGAGTCCACAGGTCTAATATCTTTTTTTTTTTTGTTAGCCACAGAAAGGACAACATCGTTGAGTTTGCAATTTGTGCTTGAGCCTAGCCACACCAGTAACTTTAGTTGGAGGCGCTGACCCTGACGCACAAATCAAACCAAGAGATGTCGTCTTCCTCACGGATCCAAGACCTCCACCCTTGCCATTATAAATTACATCAGTTGATGAATCAAAACAAAATCTTACATACCCAGAAGCAAATTTTCCCAAAAGCACTTATTATGCAATCACATCCTCAAAAATCCTATATTCCCAAATCAGAAACCCACATAATTCCTAAGTCAGAAACCCATATAATTCCTAAATCAATTGAAAAACTTATGCAAAAACCCTAAATTCCTAAGTCAGAAACCCTAATTCATAAATTACCTAGGGATTTGCAGGATGATATGGTGGTAGTCAGAACTCGTGATTAGGAGGACCGATGGAGAGTCAGGAGAAATTACCACAATGGTGATGGTGGATGGCTGCTGTGATGTTGACACAGTCAAGGTTGACTCAGTAACTACGGGTGGGAGGAAGAGCGAGAAAGTGTGTAGAGTCGATGGACGAGATGGGAGCATGGGCTCGAGATTGAGGTTTAGACGAGAGAGGAAATGAGATTCAGGGAGGAAAAATTGAGGGAGGAAAGAGTCGCCGCTCGCTGCGAGTGCTCTAGTTGGGAATTCGAGGGAGAAAGAGTCTGTCAGGGTTGAGGAGAGCAGATTGTGGTGGTTGCGGTGAGGAGAACATATGTGATGTTGGAGTCGGGATAGAGACCTCGAGATTAAGGCTTGAATTCTAGAGAGGGGAGAGTTGAGTGAATTGGGTCTGAGAACACGAAATTGGGAGTTTAGGGACGAGACAACTCAGCCAAGAATAATAGAGAAAGGATGATAGATGGTAGAGATTTAATCAAGGTAGGAAATCAACAGTTTGAGTCAAGGGCCCGTTTTCTCCAATTTCTAGAACCGCCCTATCCCCGATATTTACCTAGACTCGCCCTGCCCTGGACCCGTCCCGTACCCACTGTGAACCGCATAGATCCGCCCTGATCCGCGAGTCCAAGACTCGTTTGCCCACCTCTATCAGTGACCAAAGTAATTTGGGGCCTAAGAGCAGTTCCAGTGTGGGAACCCTCCCCCCGGGCAATACACTATGCTATCCACCCAGTGAACAGTAGCTGCCCTAATGAACAGTAACTATCTTTTGCATCTCCACCGTTACACTTCAATAGCCCTGGCAATAGGTAATAAAATATGAGTATTTTTTGTATTTATAAAATAATACAAAATAATTTTATTTGTAATTTCGGATTGGAATTTTTAATCGTTCTCGTTGCGCCACGTGTCATTATCCAAAAATTTATAAAATAATACAAAATAATTTTATTTGTAATTTCGGACCGACAGATTTTTAATCGTTCTCGTTGCTCCATGTGTCGTAATCTGAAAAAGATAATTATTGGTGATGGATTTCCGATAAGATTTTTTTTTTTTAAATTTTTCAATTTTTTTATGTGTAAGGTAGATGATAATGAGAAGGTATTTATACAAAAGTAAAAACAATTTTTTTAAAAAAAATTTCAATTTTTTTTTCGGATTTTTTAAAATTTTAAATTTTTTTTATTCAACTAATTAATCTCTACTGTTGGATATAAAAAAAAATTGAATTTAAACACTCCAGATTGTGCCACGTGTCACAACAATAACATTTCTGATTTTTAAAACTATTATTTATTTATTTATAAAAGGCTAATAATATCAACCGTTGATCTCAGATCCAACGGTTGATATTAAATAAGGTTTTTTTTTATTTTTATTACCGTTGCAAATCAAACGGTCCAAAATGTTTTGCCGTTAAGATCGAACGGATTGTGGGAAGCCACGTGGCTTCCCAATGGTAACAATTTTCAATGGGTTGCGGGCCCCAATTCCTGAAATCTTGTTGGCCCACACTCCTATACGCACGCTTGAAGGCCACGTGCCTGACAGAAAAAATAAAAAAAGTGACTGACGTCTGGGTGACGTTAGCCGTACGTCATAAAACCCTCAGGCTCTCAGGCTGGCAACTCATATCAGCCCCTCCCTCGGGCCGGGCCTGTTCCTCGGGCTGCCACACGGTGGACTCTCTCACTAGGCTCTACGGCCCTGTTCACCAGCCCTTCCCTGAGCACCAGCCAACGCTGGAACTGCTCTAAACACAAACCCAAACCCCTTCCGAACAAAAAAAAAAAATAGAAAAACACAGCCACTCCCTCTCCCTTCCCTCCGCCTCCTTGAAGCCGCAGCCCTCACCCGCCCAAACAACACAAGTTTCCTTACACCACCCAAACTTTCTCTTTCTTCTTCTTCTTCTTCTTCCTAGACGTAGCTGCAAACCCTAGTCTTCCTCTCTATCTCTCTCTCTCTCTCTCTCTCTCTCTCTCTCTGTTTCCTTCCACTGAAACTTCGTCGGCACAATGTCTACCTTAGAAATCGAAGCTCGAGAGTATGTCTTTTTGTTTTTCCTCTTTAACGTTGTATTGCACACTCATAAATCCTATGTTTATGTTTTTCTAGGGTTCAATATTTAAGTTCTTGTGTTGTTTTCTGGGCAGACAACTGGGGGAGTAGAGTAGGGTTAAGTTAGGTTTAACTGGGTTATGTTTGGTTTTTTTTTTTTTTTTGGTAATCATTGGATTCTGTTCGTTCAAAGACAAACAATGCCTGGGAAGTTCTCGGATGTTGTCGAATATGTTGGCTTTCGGTAACAGGGGTATTGACTTGTTTGCTAAAGATATAGTGAGAGTACAACGTTGTACTGTTTGAGTGTACTAGAAAATTCGATGTCGTTAATCTGTTTTATTTTTCTCTCTTTTCAGTGTCATCAAGATTGTGCTTCAATTTTGCAAAGAGAATTCTTTGCACCAAACGTTTCAAACGTTGCAGAGTGAGTGCCAGGTATCTTTGAACACTGTTGACAGCGTTGAGACATTTGTTTCTGACATAAATAGTGGAAGGTGGGATGCAATTTTGCCTCAAGTGGCTCAACTTAAGCTTCCCAGGAATAAATTGGAGGATTTGTACGAGCAGGTTTGTAACAATACTTACCTTTGAATATGTATGTTGCAAGCCTGGTATTAGTCCTTTCACTTTCCGACATGTTTACACTACTGTTTGACTCTAGCTGCTCTGATGTATGAACAATGTTACTTGTTTTGCATATTCTTCAACTTATAAGCTCACTGTCGTGATTTATAATGCTCAAGATTGGTGTTAGCTGTATTGAGTATGATTCTTACAGGGCTAGTCCTTTTTGTGTGCGCGTATATAACTTCCAATTTACATTATGCCAATATTATATGAGAGAATTTCTCCTGCTAGGATGCATGATATGGCTACCGGGATTTAGTGATCAAAGGTGTAAAGTGTAGGACAGAAGCAATAATGCACATTTGATTTAGTTGTCGAGCACAAAAGCATATTTCTGATATATGAAGGTTTTTCGAGTGGCCCATCTCATGTATAAAGTCATATTTGAGCTGAGGAACTCGTTAAGACTCATTTGAGAGGAGAAAGTAGTTAAGGTATTCTGAAGTCAGCAATAGAGTTGTACTGATATTGTAAGGTGGAAACATATTCTGTTTATTTTAAAATATTGAATATGAATAATGTCCCAACAAAAACAAGTGCACGCATAGGAACACACCACACCTAGCCATTGTCTAAATGCACAAATAACATTGTCAACTTCTAATCCCTAGAACCTTTGACAGAATGGATCAAACTAGTACTGATGTAAGAAGGCTCAATCATATTAAAATTTCTAATACTCTTAGGAATGGTAGCGCCTAAGTCTGTTGGTTTTGATCAGATTCACTCTTGTGAGAATGAATGACATTAAGGCAAATCAGATCATTGTCTATAAACCAAAGTTTGTGTGGTGGGGTTGGATACTTTTTTCCCATTTTTTTCTGCTGTCGTTGTATGTCTTGGATATGGATTTTTCAGTTTGTGCTAATTTGGATTGCGGAGTTATGTCTTTGTTTGGCCCTAAATGTTAGTATGATCGCTGTGTACCTCTGCCAGGTTTAGTTGGCTCTACTTCCCTGAAAGCCTACTTGAATGGATTGACAGTGGAGTAATTTTTTCTATGTTTCATCTGTCCATGTTGTGTAGATTGTACTTGAAATGATTGAACTTCGAGAATTGGATACTGCTCGTGCTATCTTAAGACAGACTCAGGTAATGGGTGTAGTGAAGCAAGAACAACCTGAAAGATTCTTGCGACTTGAGCACCTCCTTGTCAGAACCTATTTTGATCCAAATGAGGTATGAAATAGCTTTCAAATAATTATTTGACTCACTAGTTATTGAATTATTGGTCATAATAAGAAAGAATTTCAACCTTTATTTCTTTATTGCCTATCTACAATGAGAATATGTGCAATGAAGTCCTGCCAAAAACATGTTAGTCAGTTGAAGGTTCCCAGACACTTGAATGTCCCAAAAACCTTAATATCACAAACACCTGAAGGTCCCAATCAACAGCCAGCACTCCAGAACTAATGATGCATTATATTTATTCAGCTTGAGGAAAAAAGAAAGAAAGAAAATGATATTGGTCTGGTCATAACTTTTGTCTTTTCTCTGTAATGCCATCAAATTAGATTGAAGGTTAACTAAATAGTGCACCTGAATCTTTTGCTATTAGCTCATTCCACTGTCTTGGAGAATGTTGTGCTTTCATTTCAATCAGCATGGTGCTTTATTAGAAACTTAAAGGTTATGTTGTCTATAACAGGCTTATCAAGAGTCAACAAAAGAAAAACGGCGTGCTCAAATTGCTCAAGGTTTCACTCCATCTCCCTTCTATAAGTGAACTTTAAATATTTCCATTAGGTTTTTAATCTCAATGAATACATCAGGTATCTCTCCTCTATGATTAGAGATAAAATTTGTCACTGAACAATCACTGAAGGAACATAAATAACGTAAGAAAAAAACCCTGCACAATTTGGATTCACTTCAATCTTCAGATAACGGTTCAATTCATAGTTTGGGGAGAAAAAATCTGATATGCTTGCCGCCTGAAGACTTCTAGGGACTGAAATATACTCGTATGGTCATACAATGTCATAATGCGTTAAGAAAAGCAAAGATCTGTTACTAAAGTTTCTGTTTAGCATTTCCTTTAATTTGTTTTTAATTGTTCCTGTTTATGGATTTAGACCAGGCCTTGGATATGGAGAGTTTAAATGTGAAATACAGTCAGAGGTGTCTGACATTGAAATCTGACAAAAAATGTAGATAGCAAATGAAAAAAAATCTTTGTAGTTATTGAAGTTTATTCTTTGAAGTTTGTGGTCTTTGACGAGTTTTGTTTTCTTTTGAATTTCTCAGCACTTGCTGCGGAAGTTAGTGTGGTGCCACCATCAAGATTAACAGCTCTAATTGGTCAGGCTCTGAAGTGGCAGCAGCACCAAGGTTTGAAAATTATCCTCCCGTGGAAGAGCTTTAAAGAAAATCCTCTAGTGGATATGTTGCTTAAAATTCATTTCTGCTTTACTCTTTTCTCCCTCCCTCCCTCCCTTCTATTTCCATCCTGTCATGGATGAGCGTACTTTATATTTCTTATAGATACCCTTCATGGCTATAAAATCTATATTCACTTTTATGCATTGTGAATTTTAGTGCCAATGAAATCAAGTTTTATTTATCCGCAAGAAGTTTTATCCGTACATGTTAGGTGAGGATACAGAGATTTTTGTTGTTAATTTAGCTTCGGCATCTTGCCATACCTTGTCCCTCCTTAATAATTCTTCATCTTGATGGTTCACATATGCATTGAGATGAAAGATTCATGTGCTATGTATGTGGATTCCATCTGTTTTTCTTTTCCTTGAGAGGAAACAAATTTTATTAAATGCAGAGTAAGCAAAAAATGAATGTTACCCTTTCTGTACTTTTGAATGACACTTCCTCTTGTTGAAGTGATTGATGGACTGCTTCTCACTGTACATGTAATAGCTCTTTATCTTTATAACTGTAAGGCCTGCATTTGTTTGATTGGAATGTTAGAATAGGAATAGGATTTGCATACAATTTTAAGGACGGAATGGCTATGATCGTTTCATTCCACCATTTGGCATATATGTTACGAATTGTAAATAGGAATAGGCTGAAGGACTAACATATTTCCAATTTTACACTTTTTTGTTTTACGACTTACTAATTTTCAAAACTTAAAAAGAATCTTTCAACATCAGTATCAAAACTGCTGTCATGATAATTGAGATGTCCAACTACTTCTGCATGTAAGAAATTAATGTCTTTATATAAAAGACCAAATTTATATATATGTAATATTATGTTTGGTATAAAACGAGGACCAGAATCGAGAAGAAAGTAAAGAAGATGAACATGATTGCTCCTAGTGACATGGTGGCGTTCACCTCCACCACCAGTCAAGAAGACTATCAAAGAATCTATCCTGGGTTTGAGCCCAATATATGTTAGCATGGCTTGCTGGTGATAAATTGATAAATGATCTTTTTCTCAACATATTTGCTACTAGTGAGAATTGCACATGTTCACAGAAGAGTTTCACAAAGTATGTAGATTAAAGAAAAAATAGGTTTAATATACAAAGGCACAAAATGGTAGAGAAGACAGTTGTGGGAGGGTACTTTTCTCAAAGTTACATCCCATTAGAAGTACCTAATAGAAATTCCAGCCTTCCACCTGTTTCAATTCCACCTAGTCAATGTAGTTGAGTTCAGTCAGTTCCTTAATTCTATTTTCATTCCAAGCTAAATAAACATCCAATTTTGATGGAAAGGAAACAAATTCCTATTCCAGGCCTTGCGTACTGCCGAGCAAATGAGGCCTAAGTTAACAGTCTCTTATTAAAAGAAGTGGACTTCTGGTTCACTTCGTATAGGTTTTTTTCTCTATCAATATATATTCTAATCAGATTTATTTTTATTAACAGGAACGGTCACTTATGTGGTTACTTTTTTTTTTTTTTCTCTTTCAGGATTGCTTCCCCCAGGAACACAGTTTGACTTATTTCGGGGAACAGCTGCTATGAAACAAGATGTGGATGACTTGTATCCAACAACTCTTTCACACACAATAAAGGCAGGGAATTTACATGTAGCATTGTAGCTATATATCATTTTGATACATTGTTCAGTATCCTTTATTGGTTTAGTGTTAAGGGCTATTAATGCTGGATACTGAACTTCGTTTTAAATCAGGTTTTAGGAACTTAGACTACAGTAACATCAATATTCGATGGTAGTTCTTTTATCCATGCATCGGCCTATGAAGAAATTTAAATAGATTAGACAGATCTTATCGATTTATATTAAGTAGTGGCCTGATTATTTGTAACAATTTCTTTCTGAACTTCTAATCTGTTTTTGGTGGTGTTTTGCTGCAGTTTGGGACAAAAAGTCATGCAGAATGTGCCCGGTTCTCACCAGATGGGCAGTTTCTTGTCTCTTGCTCGGTTGATGGATTTATTGAGGTATATATGATTATGATGCTTTTGTTAATATGAATTATTTGGTGTGATTTGAGTGTGCGTTCTTTTTCCAATGTTTGTGTCACTTCCAGGTGTGGGATTACTTAAGTGGGAAACTCAAGAAGGATCTTCAGTACCAGGCTGATGTGAGCATTTATTTTCTTTCCGAAGTCTTGTGCATTCTACAACAATAATACATGCATAGATATATAATATAAGTATATATTTTCATTGCAATTGTAAGGTTAATTAATTGTAAAGTTGTACCATTATGACCTTGATATCATTGGTTCTGAGCAAGAAACATGCTATTGGAAGTCGGGATAATGTTGTGTTTTTCACCCTCTCAAGGGTTCTCGATGAATGCAACTTGGGCTCTGGCCTGCTTGTCATGTCCTTATACACATACATGTGCCCCTACACACACGGACAGTCGCTCGGTTGTTTTTTTTTTTTTTTCGCAACCTGCCTTCTGCATTTTCTGATGTGCTGTCAATATTGCAGGAAAGTTTCATGATGCACGAGGATGCTGTCCTCTGTGTTGAATTTAGCCGAGATTCAGAGATGCTTGCATCTGGGTCACAAGATGGAAAGATCAAAGTAAATTATGCTCATTTTTCTTGGATGGAACAGTTTGGTTCTTGTTTTTTCTTCTAGAAGTTAAATTCTCCATACATTTTTCTTAAATTTTTGTTTTAATTTCCCATTAGAAACCATCATATGACCACATGTATCCTCAATTAATTAGAGAGTCCTTCAAATTTACTCCCACACCTGTCTTCAAATACTATTCAGTCCAAACCAGTCTCCCTCTAGTACTAATCTGAGCAAATGTTGCCATCTGACTATGGGGATGGCTGCCCTATCATTATAAAATTGATGTTAGTTTTATGTAGTTACTTCTCTTTCAGAGAGTCCATATGATTCTCCCACTGCTTTGTAAGCATTCATTACTGTGTACCCTAATTTTCTTACATGTCAGTGGATAAAGTTGGTATGAATACGACACTTAGGTGTTCCAGAAATTGTAATGAGTGACGAATGGAGTTTTTAATGTTGGATTCTGGTTCTGGTCAAGTTTTTTTGTCTATGATATGAACATAACTCAAGCTGTGTTTGTTGAGATTTCTGAGTATGCTTCCTTTTTCTGGTCCAAGATAAGGCCCTAGTATAGTAATTATGATTTGGCGTCTTATCTTGAAGCTAGAAGATAGTTTGCAGAATGTTATTTAACTTTTTTGGTTCCTGTCCATTTTGCTACTTTGCATTTGTTGACTTAATTCAGTTTTGATATGTTATACAGTTTTATTGAATTTGTTACTGAACTTAATTTGTCTAAATTCTTCTTACAGGTTTGGCGTATTAGGACTGGGCAGTGCTTGCGCCGTCTTGAACGTGCACATTCAAAGGGTGTCACCAGTGTTTCCTTCTCTCGTGATGGAAGCCAGTTACTTAGTACATCATTTGACAGCACTACAAAGTATTTTTTCACATCTCTTGTTGCATATGTTTCCTAGATTGGTACATTAGTTATTACTTTACATGTCAACATTTACTCTATCACTAATATTGTTTCAACATTGAGTTTTGACTTGTTCCTATGTTTTCATTTTAATACATCCGTTGAATTGTATTAGTTATGTAACAGTTATGCATCACTCATTGTCACATGCATCTCCTTGTTTTTCACTTTTATGTTTTGGTTACTATGATTTAATGTCAAAAAGTGCATTATTGGCTGCCACGCGCATCTCCTCTTTTCGTTCATATATAATTATATTTATATTCATTGCTATATTTTTAAAGGTGACTGTTTATGACTGATGTAGAATCCATGGCCTAAAATCTGGGAAGGCGTTGAAAGAATTTCGTGGACATTCATCTTATGTAAATGACGCAATCTTTACAAGTGATGGAGCTCGTGTAATTACTGCATCTAGCGATTGTACAGTCAAGGTAAGTTTCTTGCAATATGTATTTGTATCTCTTAGACGCTGTTGTTGCGCAACACCTTTCCATTTTCTGGGGCATAAATATGTTTTTTTTTTTTTTTTTTAGGTCTGGGATTTGAAGACTACAGACTGTCTGCAGACATTCAAGCCACCTCCTCCTTAAGGGTATTCCTGTTTATTGTTTTAATATTTTATATATCATGAGCTCGAGGAAGCTAGCTACATTTCCTTTGAACTTCTGCCTTTTCTTTTATTGTTTTTGCATCTAATACGTGGTTTTTTTGTTTGAACTGTTAGGGAGGTGATGCTTCTGTGAATTCTGTTCATCTTTACCCAAAAAATACAGATCACATCATTGTATGTAATAAGACGTCATCCATTTATGTCATGACACTTCAAGGGCAGGTATATATTTTTTCACTTTTGTTCAACGTGTCACAATGTATTTGGCAGGCAGTAATTATTGGTTTAACATTTTTTAAAGTTTGTTTTTGAAAATTTCATGTTTTAAAGCCAAAATATTTTGTTTTGTTGTTAAGTGCAAATGAATTTATTATTACTGAGACTGTCTGATTATTATGGCTTAGGTTGTGAAGAGCTTTTCATCTGGTAAAAAGGAAGGTGGAGATTTTTTGTCAGCTTGTGTGTCACCTAAAGGGGAATGGATTTACTGTGTTGGTGAAGATAGGTATTCCAGATAAACTTTTGTCAAATTTTCATCGTGCTCATATTTCATTTGTTTATGTTAATATACATTCTTAATATGCTTGTTTTTGTGTCTGTTATGTATGAAATCTTTCCAAATTCAAAAGATCTCTTATACACTTTGCGGTGTTTATCCTCGTCTTCTAGAGAACTATTTGTTTTCTTAGCATCATTGGATAGACAACGTTTTGCTTTTCCAACATTAGAATTCCAAAATTAGAATCTAAGAGATAATTTGGGCTTCTCCTTCACTAGAGTCAGAGCCGTTTGCGTTATTTTTTTTTTCCTCCAACGGGTACTTGCCAGTTGGAAACTACAAAGACCGTGCTACCTGCTTTGTTCTTGTGATCATCAGCATGCAGGGTGCTTACCAATGTTTCATCTGTTTGCAGGAATATGTACTGTTTCAGTCACCAATCTGGTAAACTAGAGCATCTAATGAAGGTATGTATTTTGTTGATAAAGATTGAGTTGGTAATGATTTTTTTTTTTTTTTTTTCCCGAACAAAGTACTGAATTAGCTTTAGAATGATATACCTCACGCATATCTGGAATCACAACAATTATTGACAATTTTGTTAATTGACGTATGTATTTTGGTAATGGAGATTGAGATGGTACGGAACGAGGGCTTAGAATGCAAATACTTGTTGCACATCTGAATCACATTAAACGAGAATTTACGTATTTCTTTCAACATGGCTATTGCTCTAAATTCACAAAGTACTTTGAAAAGACAACTGAATGTTCAAGTGATGATTTTTCCTTGGTTGAGTTAAATTGGTGTTTTTCAAACTTCATTGAGACATGGATCTTCTAGTATTTCTAACCAGTTTTGGTTGCTTCACTGATTGAGATCCGATCACTCAGCATTGCAAGTGTCTTATTATATTATTTCTGCTTGGCATGAAACCCCATATTCGAAGATGTACATGGGTTAAGTTTCATACTCTATACAAATAAGGTGTGAAGGAGAAATCCTGTGTATGTTCGCTTAGATAAATATCTGCCCCGTCTTGTTTAAAATACTAATAGAGGTATCTGATGACATCTTTGTTTGTGCTGGCCGATATAACTATTTGGCCCTTGTCATCCAGTATATACCTGTAAGCATACTGCATGCAGATGACATCTTTCTGGATGTGTATTCATCCTAGATGTGGCAAATTTAAGACAAGGCCTGTTTTGGTCCCTGAATGGCTCGTTTTAAAGGAGTGGTACAGTAATTGCAATTCTTGCCGCATTCTAATTCCAGCTATTTCTGGTCCCGAAACCTGCACTATTCACATTCGTGGGTGTGTGCATGTGTGGACGTCTGGGATTACACTGTTGGTTGTTTGCTGAGATCTAACTGCGCATGTTAAACGATCGCTCTGTTTACACAATCCTCCTTTGATAACCGAAAATGCATAAATGAATGCCAAAGAGTTATGAAGTGCTTTCTATTGTGATTTGCAGGTCCATGAAAAGGATGTAATTGGCATCAGTCACCATCCTCACAGGAATCTTGTCGCCACATATAGCGAAGACTGTACACTGAAGTTATGGAAGCCTTGAATCTCTGGTGACTTGTATGTACTGTATGTAATTTCGTTTCCGGCTGCGTGAAGTTAGATTGCTGACATGCATATTTGGTTGGCATTTGAGAAACAAAGTATAAGCGGTGTCTGCAAAAACTCACTCAGACCCAGAGCCGATTAGGATGTTGGATTCGTAACATTTACTCATCGATCAATCATGGTTTGGACATATTGTATAGCTTTTTACTAAGCAACATCTGTAATTTTGATTCATAACTCGTATTCGTGTTATGCACTCTAGAACCAAGATTTGGCATAATCTGTTTTCGGTTAAATCGAATCAAGTGCTTAATTTTATAGACATGGTTTGCTAAGTACTTGTGGGAAGGATAGGCTTTGATTCGAATAATTGAAACTGTCTGTTATTTAGTGCGTAAAACATGGTTGATACATTTGAGTGCAGTGGTCCTCTTATTTAAGGAGGTTCCAGCTTAGCACATGACTAATTAGTCTAGCTGTATCGGGTCTTGACGGAAGAGGAGATTTTAGGTTCGGCAAACATTGCGGGAAGGATATAAGAAGTTGCCTCCATTTTATGCTTCAATCGTCCGATCTGAATTCTGCATGACATCAAATGACCTCCAATCTGACTTGTGCTGTGTTGATGGAAGAGAGTGAATGAGAGCTTTTTGGCATCAATTTATATGCCTTTATTAGTCGCGACTAAAACTATTGGAACATTGTCCCCCATTTTTCGGATGAACAGATGGAAAATGCTCGAATTTGAAGAAAAATCCCCAATTGAATATGAAGAGGAGCTCTGAGAAGAAATCCTAAAACCCAATATATTGAATTAGAGTTCAAAATCGTAATTAAGCCAAAGAGGAGCCACACCTTTTTTTTTTTTTTTTTTATTATTTTTTTTAGTACAACGATATATTTTACATTAAAGAGAAGAGGGAGTTCAGCTAAGCCACATAATCAACCTAATTTGGTATCGAATTCGTCATTCACGAGATTCAAATCTAAGACCCCTTGTTTACAAGTAAAAAAGAATACTACCATACTGTAGTACCAAGTGGCATACTGTCATTGATTTAGCTAATAATCAAACATGGACTCAAGGCATATTGCCATTGATTGTTGGGTAAGAAACTAGTGGCGAAGCCATGCGAGGGTGAGGAGTGGCGGCCGCCACTCCCCTCGCCGGAAAACACCACTAGAGAGCTGGTTCAACCCCTCCCCTGGCCGAAAAACCGACTGGTGCAGCCTCTCTGTTTCCGATGTTCTGTTTCTGCTGCGTGCAGCAGTAGCAGCAACATATTTGGTTTTTTTTTTTTCAAAACATCCAAGCCAAAACGATGTCGTTTTGGTCCTGGAAAAAAAATTTAAAAATAAAAAGACACCGTGTCCCCCCTTCGCTCAGTTCTTTCAGCCCTATTTCCCCTTATATTGTTTCAAACTCTCCCATTCACCATTCAGAGACAGAGAGAGAGCAACTTTGCCCCCAAAATCCCAGCAGCCAATGCCCAACGGAACAGAAAATTTAGGAAGGTTGATTCCCGTTGGCTTTTTGCAGCCATCACCAGCCATTCTTCAGCCACTAAAGTCTAAGTGGCTAGCTTCCAGCCTTCAATCAAAGGTAAATTTTTTATTTCCTAATTTTATAATCCCTAACCCTAATTAATTATTGAATACGAATTTCGTTTAATTGGTATAGAATCATATAGTAATGCACTAATATGGTTATTAGTTATTGATTATTGATATGATTCTAAGATTATTGATATGAAATTATGAAATTATTTTTTAGGGTGAAAAAAATTGAATTCTTGATTATTAGTTGAATTGATTAGTTCTATTCATATGATTAGTTGAATTGAATTTTTTTTTATCGAATAATTTGTATGCTTATTGGTATTGATTAATTGAATTGTTGGTTGGATTAGTTATTATGCATACTATAGTATAGTCGACTCTAGGATTAAGAGTCTAAGATTTTTTTTTTCTTTCCATTTTACAGTTACGTAATAAAACAATACTATAAGAAACAATGCTTAAATCCTCCTTCAAAATGGAACGATACTATGAAGATTGTGAAACCACAATTGCGTAATAAAATGAGAGATCAATGGTTGAGTGATAACATGATTGTTTACATTGAGAGAGATTTATTTGCTTTTATTAATAATAAGCCTATTATGCGATATTTTCAGGACATGAAACCTCGCTGGCAACAATTGTAATTTGTTTGTATTAATTAATTATGGAAGTACATTACTATATAAAAAGATTTAGTTGTTGCCATTTTTCTTTAACCTTGCACTCTTTTAAGTTCGCCCCTCCCCTCGAGAAATCATGGCTTCACCACTATAAGAAACCACCGGTTAACTAATGGGTTGCTAACAGGTTCACCATTACTAGCCCCCATTAAGTCTTCACCCGTTATTTGAATTTTTTTTTTTTTGCGAGCAAATTGAGTCGTGTTAATGAGTTAGGTTCATTTTACCAGCTTTATTCCCTAACTAGATGCTTGGTCTAGGTTAAACTATAGATCAAATAGTAATGTAAGTTGTACATAAACATTTTTACTTACCACCTTATTTATCACCATAAACAAGTTTAATTGAAATTATATAGTAAATAAACACAAATTTCAAACTTTAAACACATTCAATTGAATTCACGAAACCCAAGTTGGAGTACGGGAACAACAAAGTCCATGTTAACTGTTGAGACAAACGATATACATGGAGAAAGAAGAGTTAACTTTGTTCTCCCCGAGAGAATCAATTCTTTTATTTATTTATTTGCGACAAAAGTCAAAGTACATAAGAATGCTGCCCCTGCTCCGCCCTGCCCAGCAGGCATAACCACCAACTGTCCCACAACAACACAGGACTTGGGAATTAGGAGTGGCATGGCAACCTCTGAATCCGCCTTCAACGCCACCAATCGATCAGCTCTCTCTCTCTCTCTCCCCCCTTTCTTTTAGACTGACACACAGCTTATTTGCTCAAAATTAAGGCTCATTTGAAAATATTTTTGAAATAATTGAAAATGTTTTAAATGAAAATACTTTTAAAATCAATTTTTAGTAAATATAAGTGAATCTTAAAAAGTACTTGAAATGCTTGTTACGAGAAACACATAACTGAAGTTTCTCACAAAAAGCACTTTAAGTATTTTTGAAACTCAAAATTATTTATCTAAAAATAATTTCAATCATTTTAAAAACACTTCCAAACGAGTTCTTAATTTTTAATCTGCGTTTTAGGCATACCCTTCAAAAGGGACGTACACGGCACAGATTCTGTAACAGTAGTGTCTATATATCTAATGCCAACAAGAATTTGTATGGATTTTTATTTATGTATTCTTGTTTCATTAGCACGAATGCGTGCCATATAAATTGTTTTCATTCACTAGGATCATTTATCTTGATCCTTAGGCACATCACGTGTTGACTTCTTGCATTCATAACTCAAGGTTCTTATTAAGAATTCTGGCACCTGCACCTGGATGCATACATGTGAAACATCATATGGATATAGGGTTAATTAGAGTAAGTGGCCAAACTTGGAGTTCCAAGGACTCAAAACATTTATTAAAAGAAAGTCTTGAAGAGTTCTAGACATGAAGTGAAGATCATCAAGGTTTCATTTCAGCAACAAAAATGGAATTTATCAACTACTTCTCTACGAATTCCACAAAACCACAAAAAACGCAGGTAAATATTTGTCGACTCACATGTTCAGTTTACGTGGCTGCACGTATGTCTTGGTTGGTCCTCTCCTTTCTTTTACGCGCAGGAGTGCTGCTAGTGCACCAGCTCAGTCCCGAAAAATAGTTTTATGTGGAAGAGTAACGCAAGAGAGACAATATGACATCCTATTAGTGTACCTTTTGAAGTGGAAAAGCTAAGTGATTTATACCATTAACTTTTAATCAGATAAATTTATTAATTAACGTGACATGTACACATCACTTATCACATCAAATTGTGCACTAATATGACATAAAAATATTTTCTCCCTAGCATTTTTCATATCGAAAGTTTAATGTGTTTAGTGGGACATTTTAAACTTTAAGATGAAAAAAATTTCCACTAAAACAGAATATTTTTACATTTTAGAATTTTCTAATGGAAACTCTGTGAGTCTTCCTGGCCTCCGGAATAGGTGGATAACCGTGGCTTACCACTAGTTGTCACCATTTTTATAAAAAGAAAATGAAAACAAATAGAAAAAAGGGAAAAAAATAGAAAACAAACAGTAGAAGTGTCATTTGCATCCTCAGTTTTACATCTTTAAAGTAAATATTTCTAATGGAACGTAATTTGCTATTCAAAGAGCATTCATGTTGTCTTCAACTAAGCAAAAACTTCCGCCACACTTACTTCTGGAGAGGCCAAATTTTTAAATCAAATTTTATAAACTAAATGATGTGGATATTGATAATTGAATTATTATTTAAGTGTTGATTAATGTGTTTATTTCATATTTGGTTTAAAATTTTGGTCTCCCTATCATTATCATTACGAAATTAATATCTAACCTACCAAATTAGGGAATTGTTATTAGCACTCTAAAAATCTCATTTTGCATTCCAAATTTTTTTAATAATTATAGAAAATTAAAAATATATAATAAAAATTTTGAAGTGCTAACCGTTCTCCCAAATTATACAAAAGATATGGAAGCTCAAACTAGCCTCAATAAACTCAGCCAATTATTTACATTGTTAATTTTGTGCACCACCTAATTGGGTTGAATATTAATTCGTTGCATGGAAATGGCTTTCAATTTATATGAGAGAGAGAGAGAGAGAGAGAGAGAGTTGGGAAAACTTCAAGAAATTAGAACAGCGGTAGGAAAAAGAGAAGGATGCTTGGGAAGGGAAATTTTGTATTAAATTACTGCAGCTGATAGACGTGAACATTTATTACCTTCACAACCACCGCGCGCCTTGCCATTCCTATTAAATCATCGCTGCATGCTCCTCCTGCAAATACAGCAACTACATTTCTTCTCTCTCTCTCTCTCTCTCTCTCTCTCTACTCTTCTCCCCCCCTACGTTACCATCTCAAAACATCAATATTCAGCCATTGATGGCTAGGCACCTTCCAAGTAGCAGTATTAGGTTGTTCTGTGTGGTTGTTTTGGTGATGGTGGTTCTGGAAGCTGGAGTAGTTTGGTGCCAAGATGTGAACTCATCATCACCGTCAGCCGATGGAGGTGGCGGTGGGAGGAGATTGTTGTCAGAAACGGTGCCTGCCATGTTTATATTTGGAGACTCTCTAATTGACAATGGGAATAACAACGACATTCCGTCATTTGCCAAGGCTAACTATTTCCCTTATGGCATTGATTTCAACGGCGGTCCTACTGGCCGTTTTTCCAATGGCTACACCATGGTTGATGAAATAGGTCTCTCTCTCTTGCCTGCTGCTTTTATGTTTATTTTTTTACCTTAAGGAAATTAGTCGTTGCTTTTATTTTATTTTTTGGTTTTATGGGTACTCTATTTGCTTAATCTCTGAATTTTTTTTAGTTAACCTACTTGTTAATTACACATAAATGAAGTCTTGGAGATGCATCTTATTTGCTCATTTGACTAATTAAAGGGCACATTTACATTCCTCATTAGAGCATAAAAACCAGGCATTATACACTTCTATAAAATGATGACAAAAAACTTAAACATTATTGCCATTTATCTCTCTTTTTTTTTCATTTTTTTTTTTTTTTAAATTAATTTGATCCTCCTGCAGCTGAACTGCTAGGACTTCCCTTGATTCCTGCTCACTCTGAAGCTTCTGGTGATCAAATGCGTCATGGAGTCAATTATGCATCTGCAGCTGCTGGAATCCTTGATGACACTGGCAGAAACTTCGTAATTAATACTACTTCATGCTTCATAATTTAATTAACTAACTCAATGTATTTATCTTAAACTTTGCATGGATTTGGCAGAACCATCGCTTTGCATGTTTGATCTGGAATTGTTTCAGTTGAATTATTTGTCACAATTGTTTTCTGCAGGTGGGAAGAATACCTTTTAGTGAACAAATAAGGAACTTTCAGAATACACTTGATCAGATAACAGGCAATCTTGGTGCTGATGATGCTGCTCGATCTATTGCCAAGTGCATCTTCTTCGTTGGAATGGGAAGCAATGACTACCTGAATAATTACCTAATGCCCAACTATCCAACTAGGAATCAGTACAATGCCCAACAATATGCTGATCTCTTGGCTCAAGAATATACACAGCAGCTCACTGTAAGAACTTCACCTCCTCAACTAGACGCTCCATATGTTTAGATCGTATAACTGTCTTACATTGCGTATTTGAAGCGTTATTGCATCATGTAATCGATAAAAGTTAGGGGCACTATGCGTAATGTAAATTGGTTTTGCGTTGGATGCTCTAACTTTAACAACGCATGCATAGCTTATCGTACAATTACCTAAGCATCCTATTAATATATGTGACATGTTCCAGAGACTTTACAATCTTGGTGCCCGAAAATTTGTTATTGCTGGATTAGGGAGAATGGGTTGCATTCCAAGTATTTTGGCCCAAAATCCAAGTGGAACCTGCTCGGACGAAGTTAATCGCCTTGTTCTACCTTTTAATACAAATGTGAAGACAATGATCAACAATCTTAATGCCAACTTACCAAGCTCAAAGTTCATTTACATAGACATTGCTCGTATGTTCGAAGACATGCTCCTCAATTCTAGATCCTATGGTATGCTTGCTACTGTATATTTAATCTGAAGTCATTCCTGATTGAACTTTAATTATGTGTCTGTCGACACTAGCAATTTCAATATTTGTGCAATTCTGTTTGTAGGATTCAGCGTTGCAAATCGTGGATGCTGCGGTATTGGGCGTAACAGAGGCCAAGTTACATGTCTTCCTTCCAAACACCATGCCCAAATCGAGACCAATATATTTTCTGGGATGCATTCCACCCGACATCAGCGGTGAACATCATAATTGGGAGGAAAGCTTTCAGCGGGGACCGTACCGAGGTTTATCCCATGAACATACAGCAGCTTGCCACTCTTGACATTGAAAGGAACCAGTAGAAAGTGCGGTGGTTCAAATTTACCATTTGGCTTTATCTTACTATTTTGTTTCTACTAATTTGTTTGAGTGCTGCAGAGAAATGTTACAAATCTCGGACTTCTTGTACTTTATTGGTTTTGAACTTTAGATTGTTGTTTGGAATTGGCTAGTAGTAGTAGTAGATTATCCTTTTCTTCTCTCATTTATTATACATTTTATTCTTACGCTCCCAATCCAAGTCTGAATGAAAGTGGAGAGAGAAGACGTCAGATAGTTGACAGATGGCACTCCATTTTCACGTCTAATCTCTATAATTTATTATACACTTATTCTTCTTTTTTGTTTTTCATTCTTTCGTTTTTGTTTCCTCTTTCTTGGAGAGTTGGTAGATTCATTATCCCACCATGATCTTATGAGATCAATATTATTTTGGGCTTTCGCAAAAATAACTTTCTCAAAATTATCTTCATAGTCAAAATCACTTAGAGCACTGTTTTTAACACCGTTTTTAGTGGGAAAAAATGAAAACTCTATCCAATTTATTGCACCCGAAAATAATAATCGACATGTGTTGGTTTTTTTAACTTTCGTTTGATTCGTTAGTCTCTCACTAATCTTAACAAAGATGGCTACACTAATTAAGTATTTAATTATCATAGCTACCTTAAGTTGAGCTGTGATTTGATTTGATTGAGCATGAATAAAGTTAACCTTGTGGACTAGATTTTCTGAATTTATCCTTCACTTTTCATGCTATAAACCTTTGGATGGATTCAAAAATCACCATGGCCTGGTAGTAATACTTAATTCAAGGGGATCCTTCCTAGCTCGAAAAGACGCATGATAGAATTATATACTTCCGCTAGTGGTGATGTACCCACATGAATTGACAACACGTACAAGCAGAAATTACTAAAACAGAAAAATATTTATTAACATTATTAAATTAGCAATCAGCTGAAAAGCATCAAAAATCAATTAGTTTTACTGTGAAATTTCAACTTTCTTTACATCATATCTATCTTATTTTTATTTCTACAAAAAAAAAAAAAAAAAAAAAAGCATCAAAGAAAGAGTAAATTGTAGTAATTGTCTCTTAACTTTAATTCAATTAGAGCAATAGTCCCTCAACTAAAAATTCATTACCATTGGTGCCTCAAGTTTAATATAACTAGAGAAATGGTCTCTCAACTTTAACCCAATTGGAGCAATGGTCCTTCCAACATAACTTATTTTGACAAAATTCTAACGAAGTTGACGAAAAAGGATCATAGCTACACATTTTGATGAGTTGAGGGACCAATAATAATAAATTTTTTGTTGAGGACGATTACTACAATTTACTCTCAAAGAAATTGACAATTCATAAGAAATCAATCAGTGATGAGGTTGTTGCATGCAAGAAGTTCCAAAAGCTTTGTATTGTCTTGGCTTTCATAGCGTAGTCCGTTGTTGAATGTTGATTGGGTAAGCATATGATCGTGTATTGGAACCATTATATGATGCCTTGCCCACTGCCTCTGTTGGATAGAAGGCATCCCAAAACAAGTACTATGTGCGATCCCTACAAGCTTGCTGAAGAGGTAGACAATTTATCTGCCCATTGTTCCTTCCTACTCCATAACACCCCTTGTCTATCACTTCAAACCCTGCACCATTGTTTAAAAATTGAAGCGGCCTATATCCACATCAGAAACTTGACAAAATACATTACTACTTATAAATGATGGTTTCATTACTTACCACACCGGAACTTTTGTGATATACTTTACTATGATGATTTTTGAATGAGAACGGTTTCGATGATTGAACCATGTTTCAAATTTGCCACATTTATACAGTAGACCCCACTTATTAGATAAGATTGTGTTGTTGGTAAAGACCTTAATCATCTTTTGACAAACGATGTGATCTCATATGTGATATGTTATTTCTAAGGGTTGATAACCCTATACAATACATATTCATTCTTTGATCACAAGCAATGACATATCAAGTGGTATGAGGCTACAGTCGTACGTAAAATGGAACCCGAGAGAAAGATATTGTACGAGTATTGTGTGCCTCCATAATCCATATATGCATCAACAAATGAAATGCCCTTTCTGCATACTCCTCCATGATAGCAAGCAAATCGACTTCGCGACAAAGATGTGTTGCCATCTAAATTGTGAGATTTCTCAATATTTAGAGACAATATACTACCATGGTCATGGACAGAACATTCAAGCTAAACACAGTTAAAACTAGAATTACAAAATGTTTATTACTCAACTCTATGTTCCTCAACATGCATCAGCGAACTTTACGAACTTTTTCTTCCTGTCCTAGCCCAAGTGATTTTTGCGCATTTGCAATACCTTCAGGATCTGCAATACAAGAAACCAAATTAACCAGATTATAATGTCAAAGGTTTATCATATGTCCAAGTTTTCAATTAACTGGCTTCTAAGTAAAGGGATCATGCGTAATGTGTACGCATATCCACAAAAATTTTGACTCTTGACTTTGGTTCTGAAGTATCCAGGCCGATCGTGAGAGGAAAGCTTCCCCTCAGATATTGGAATGTAAATGAACCATGGCGAAATAAAATCTCTCTCACTGTAGTATAATAAGATAGAAACATTTATCACACTTCTAGTACTCGTAGTATAATAAGCATAGCTATAGCATTGCCACTTCATTCACAGAAACAACAGGTTGAGGGCGGGATCCCAGATTTTGTTATTTATGCTTAATATTTCATCAACTTGGTGTCGGTACCCACAAAGTGTAAGCAGATATACGTACCAAAGAACTGTGTGAAAATACGAGTGAAGAAGTTCAAGTTGCGGGAGACATTGTATGCCATGGCGGGAGGAAGAGGTTTCACGACAGTATCAATGCTGAACACCCGTTGAAGGAACTGCAAAACGAATTTGTCAGGCATAAAATTATCAAATAATAAATTTTAGATGTAGATGCTATACATAAAAATGAAATGGAACATGGAAATTATATGCCAAATAGATAATCATAGAGAACCAAGCAAATAATGATGTAAAAGCAAATAATCTACAAAACATAACTGAACGAAAGCAGCTAGATAGTCAATTCAACATGAAGACCACACTTAGCTTGGACTGTCTTCTAAATTACTGAAACGAGCCAGAAACACTAGTAAAGTCATCTTCTTATTTTCTTTGTCGCTTAGCCTCAGGAAAGGGGGTTTTAATCGGGGACTCTAGTACAGAGTTGAAGAGGAATGCCAGTAGACCAGTACGGTAACAAGTCCAAGTTTTACCATCCTACTTGCATACTATTGCCATGTCTTGCTTCCGGATTTAGTAAGGGCATGTCCTTCACTAATTGAAACTAAAGAACACGAATTGGTCAAGAAAGAACTCAAATACTTCTGAAACAGTAGCAGAAGGGGTTTACTGAAATCTGGTTTTGGCAGGCCATGCCCCAGTTCTCCGTGCATACCACCAACAGAGTTATTAAGTATGCACGGGAACATGAGGGGCCATGTGAATACATGTAAATAAAGTACCTCAAACACCCAATATGAGATATATGTACGACAGTATGACTTATGAGCTATAAGCTACATTGTTAATCTACCCAAGATGCGCCACTCGTAACTCATTTCTTGTAACCCCTTTTGCTCAAGCATTTGAAGCGAACAACTACAAAATTTGTCAAGAACTTTGCAAGCAATGGCTGTGATTCTCACAAAATCTCATGCGTAAAGCAACTACTGACAATCAAATTTAGATAGAAATTAATTAAAACACAATAATCACGCACAACCCAGAAAAGTAGAAAACCCAAAATCTTCAGAATCATATTAGGCTAAGGCAATAAACTAAACTGATATTAGCAATTAACTGCAGAATAACCAAACAAATTGCCAATTAGATAATTAAATAAACACATTTTTATGTGCCAAATTTGATAATTCCAAAAAATAAACAAAAACAACCAAATTAAATGATACTCTGTGTCTGAGAGCGCAACAACAGCAAGAACTGATGAAATTGCGAACTGGGTAAACTTAAAAGGACCTGAAAGTTGCGCTGGAAGCTGTAGCGGAGCTCAGGATCGATCTCCGTGAGAGAATCTTGATCGTCTTGGTCCTGAGAGCGCTTGGTTTTCTTGCGAGGGACGTGCATGGTTGGAGTCGACCCTGGCTGGCTCGTCACCTTAAGCTTCCCTTCTGGGAATTCATCCTCCGCCTCTTGTTCCACCCTCCACGGAGCTGAAGACATCAACTGCTTCTTCGACTTCGACATGTTCGACGATCGCTGTACTTTCCTGGCGAAGAGCCTGAGGATGAGGAGAAGGAGCGTGTGTTATAGATAGGGGTCGTGTTTGGATGTGGGTGCAGTTGTGCTCCGTTCGCCCATCAGGAATACCTCACAGCTCTATCGAGACGGCTTATCGACAAGAATAGAGAGAGGGTTTTAGCGGCTTTAGCCTAAATCATTTGGTAATTGGTCCCTTTTCTAATGTTATGTCAAAAGTTGGGCAACTCTAACTTAGGTTAGGTTACGTCCATACTGATGTAGTTTTCTTTACAAATGGAATATAACCGAATGACGAATATTACAGATGGACTCTATGAAAGTTCTTTTCTTCCTAATGACAATAGGAAGTCTTAAAAGTCTTAAAAAGCGTAAAAGTGTCTACATTAGAGTAACTCCAAAAGACTCTTTAAATCTCTTGGAATACTAGTTTAAAGAGCTAAACCCATAAAAATCATCTCCAAGAAACTCTTTAACTTAAAGGATTTTCGATCTTAACAAAATGAGTAGTGACTCATTATACTTGATTAATTTTATGCTATATAGTAGTTCAGTATGAGAGAAATAAATATATAATATATAATGGCAATGACGTGTACTTTAACGTGGCAACATAGTTTTTCTAGATTGTTAACTAGACATATTGTGTGAGAGAAGTGTGGGTATAAAAATTAAGGGTCAAGTAACCAGCCATTCTCATCCCATGCATCCTAAATTAGGAGAGTGAGGCTTAAATAAAGCAACATAATCAACCGTACTAAGGAACATGGAGTGAGATAACGGGACTTGGAGCCCAAGCTTTTTTTGCCTATAAAAAAGCCTAGGATCCCACTAGAACAACAGGAGGAGAAAAAGAAGTATAAGATCGTTCTAAATTTTACAAGCATCCTGAACAAGGACGAATTTGAGCGTCGGATTGTTTTGTTGCATATCCCCCTTATGATACCCTACCCTTAATATTACGTATTTATATTATTAAATGTGTGAATTTACCAAATTGCCCTCGTAGCATGAATGTTGACTTTTGTTGACCATCTCGTCGTGACGCGCATGACTAACTTTCTTAATTTATTCTCTTTATACTCGATGCCACAAATGTTTGGGCATGAGCGGATTCGAATTTGGAACTATAACAAAGTTTTTACAATTTTCAAAATGTCGAGGATATTTCGGTAATTTTACTTTTGAAAGATATTTCACGTTTCATCTTTAGTGGTCTTATTTTGTGAGCCATTGGGACCCACTCCTTGTCCCTTATCCTCCGGCCCTATCATTTCCCGTGTGAACCCCCTGTTTTCTTTTTTCTGTCAGTTCACTTCCTCCCATCTTTAAACTCTCTATCTCTCTTTGAAACTGCCTTCCCCGAGGGCGCACGCACACAAACAAACAACACAACAACAACAAGGACACCACCACCTCCCCTCTAGGTGAACCCACGAACCTAGAACAAGGAGGAAACCCCCTAAACCCTTCTCTTCCTCTCGGCACCATCACTATTCACTGAGTTTCTCCGGTGAATTCTTGCCTTCTTCAGCGAACGTAAGCCATGAAACTTGTCCAAAACTTGTAGATCATGTCTTGGTGTATGTTTGGGAGTATTTTAGAGAAGTTTTGGTAATGTTTGGATGTAGGAAACCCTCGGGGAAACCTTCCCCAGTTTTCTGGCAAGATAGCCCACTTTTGAGCCTTTTTTTTTGGCAAAACCACGTCAAGTTAACCATTGAGAATGGTACCATTCTCTTAGTCTCATCAATAGGTATGATTTTCATTTTTTAATCACTCAATTTTGTTTAGTATTGGAGAAAGTTATATCCATTTGAACTTTCCCCAGTTTCGGGCAACCTCTGACACTTTGTAGGATTTTTCCGGCTATCTCTAGTCAGTTTTTGCCCAAACTTCGGGCCGAAAAATTTAGTTTTTGGTAAGCTCCGACTGCTTGGGTCAACTCAGCTCCAGCGGCTCGGCTTGGTTGAGTGAACCGTTGATTTCTCAGTCAGTGTTAACCATTGACGTGTCAACGTTGACTTTTGGTTGACTTTTTTTTAGTATCGATCGGGACCCCTCCTAGAGTAATTTCGACGTCCTGATTTCAAAACTGGGCTCTGTTTTCCCAAATTCAATCATTTTAGTAGAGTTTTACTAATTAGTCATTTTATATGCTTAGGTGTATTTGTTAGTGGTAACCCCGTCCTCTATAGTTCGAACTTAACAAAATGAGTAGTGACTCATTATACTTAATTAATTTTATGCTATATAGTAGTTCAATAAGAGAGAAATAATTATATAATATAAAATGGCATGACGTGTACTTTAATGTGGCATTAGAGTTTTTCAAGATCGTTAACTAGGCATATTGTGTGAGAGAAGTGTGGGTGTAAAAATTAAGGGTCAAGTAACTAGCCATTTCTCATCCCATGCGTCCTAAATTAGGGGAGTGGGGCTTAAATAAAGCAACATGAATCAACCACTACTAAGCAACATAGAGTGAGATAATAGGACTTGGAGCCCAACATTTTTCTGCCTATAAAAAGCCTAGGATCCCACCAGAACAACAGGAGGAGAAAAGGAAGTACGAGATTGTTCTAAATTTTATAAGCATCTTGAAAAAAGATTGACATGAGGACCATATTGTTTTCTTGCAGATCCCCCTTATGATACCATGCGCTTAATATTTACGTATTTGTATTATTAATGTGTGAATTTACCAAATTGCCGTCGTAACATGAATGTTGACTATCTTGTTGTGATGCGTATGACTAATTTTCTTAATTTATTCTTCTTTTACTCAACGCCACGAACATTTGGGCGCGAGCGGATTCGAATTTCGAACTAGAACGAAATTTTTACGATTTTGAAACGTCGAGAGTATTCCCCCGATCCTATCCCTTCCCGTGTGAACCCTCTTTTCTTTTTTTTTCTTTTTTTTTCTTTTTTTTCTTTTTTTTTGTCAACTCACTCTCTCCCTTCTCTAAACTATCTTCTCTTATCTCTCTATCTTTTTTGAAACTGCCCTCCCCAAGGGTGTGCACACACAGACAAACAACACAACAACAACAAAGACACCACCACCTCCCCTCTAGGTGAACTCACGAACCTAGAACAATGAGGAAAGCCCCCCAAACTCCTATCTTCCTCTCGGCACCATCACTATTCACCAAGTTTGTCCAGTGAATTCTCGCATTCTCCAGCGAAGGTAAGCCTCGAAACTTGTCCAAAACTTGTAGATCGTGTCTTAGTGTATGTTTGGGAGTAATTTAGAGAAGTTTTGGTAATGTTTGGACGTAGGAAACCCTCTGGGAAACATTCCCCAATTTTCGGCGAGACAGTCAACTTTCCAGCCATTTTTCGGACAAACCACAGTGAGTTAGCCATCAAGAATGTTAACATTCTCTTCGTCTCGTCAAGATGTATGATTTTTGTTTTTGAATCACTCGATTTCATTGAGTATTGAAGAAGTTATATCCATTTGAACTTTCCCTAGTTTCTAACAACCTCCAACGTTTTCCAAGCTTTTTTCAGGCCATCTCCAACCATTTTTTAAATTCCAAACAGGTATAATCTTGTTCTTCACTTCCCTAGCTGTGTTTTGATATATTAGGGGTCGAATTTAGTTAAGAAACGACAAAGTTACGAAGCTTTGAATTTTGCCTAAACTTCCGGCCAAAATTTTTAATTTTGGTGAGCTCTGGCGGCTTGAGTCAACTCAGCTCCGACAGCTCGGCTCGATTAAGTCAGCCGTTGATTTCTTAATCAGCATTGACCGTTGACTTTTTGTTGACTTTTTTTAGGGTTTTGGTCGGGACCCCTCCTAGATTAATTTCGACGTCCTGATTCTAAATCCGTGCTTCATTTTCCAAAATTCAATCATTTTAGTAGAGTTTTACTAATTAGTCCTTTTATATGCTTATGTGCATTTGTTAGTGGCAACCCCGTCCTCTTTAGTTTGAACGGCTCTTTGATAACGGAGTATTGGTGAGTGGACCCCTTCCAAAATGCATGTTTTTTATTACTAGAAATGCATACATGAAAAGCATGATTTTATGACTATGTTTTACGAAACATTTAATGAGTTATCAGATTTACGCTTTATGCAATATCAAGTTTTATCAAATTTACGTTTACTGAAATATTTATGAACATGGATTTAGAATATGATGTTTGAGCTATTGGGCTCCAATGATATATATTTTGGAAAGATCATGTTCATGATTTTTTGTGCTTAATTACCAGATATTCATACAATATGCCTTCGGGAGGGCGATGTAGGTGCCTTAGGACAGGCGATGGATGTGCCTTCGGGCGATTATGGTATCACTACTAAGCACACTTTTTATGATATATGTTTTAAGAAGGTTTTATGGCATGCTGGGGTTTTTAGAAAACCTATTACTTATTATGCTATATGAGTTTTCTAAAACTAGAGGTTAGTATGTTTGAAGAGAAAGTGATGTAGTATTACTTATATATAAACTTAGTCCACTGATGTTTTGTTTTGCGCCCTCTTCAGGACCTAGGAATGAAGCATATGATTTGAGTTACGAGACATTCCCATATCAATGAATTTGTGTCCTCCTCTCTACGTAGGACATCTCTTGTAATCGCACTTTCTAATATCCCTTCTGCTTGTATTTCGACTTAGTAGTATGCTCTGAACATGTTCATGTATTATCACTTTTTAAATGTTGGCAGTTGAATATTCTCCTTTGGTTTAGTGACATGTACCTTATTACTATTATTTTGTTAAGGTTGGCATTTTGATATTACTTTGTGTGGTTATGCGCAAAAATTATATGCATGTTTTACATGTTCTTAGCATATGTATTAAATGAAATAGCTTGTGTCACCCTCGGTGTCAACCAACACGTGGCCATTCCGTTGTCCTTCGGACACCGGGATCAGGGCGTGTCACCCCTCCTCCCTCATTGATGGCAATTGAAGATGATGTCTTAAGTTCCTTAATATGTTCAAGATTACTTGTTGGTGGAAAATTGAAATACCCGAAATTTTCCATTCCAACAAGAAATGAGTGAGTAAACCCTAAGCACAAACCCCACACACGAACCCCAAGAAGCTACGACAAGTTCTAGCAACGCAAGTGGCTCTACAAGTCTCCAAAGATAGGAGTTTGGAGACTTTAGAACCACTTGAATTGTTAGAACTTGTCGTAGCT